GTGACAACTCAGGTCCTCGCTGCGGTCGTCAACGCAAACCACCTTACCGCCTAAGTCACATCTGGACCAGTCCAACGTCTTCCAGGCATCCGCAGTGGCGTCCACCATTGAAGCGTTCTTGTTGTTATCGTATATGTGTTTGCAAGTGTCAGAGGGTATTTTCATCCACGCCAAGTCGTGTGCAGACATTGTTATGTTGCCAGACTTGCGCTCGATCGCCACGGGTTTGCAGTTCACGATCAAATCCGACTCCGACTGGGCCTTACAATCGCAAGACACAGCATACTTGTACCGCTCGGCATCTGACAAGCGAGAGAATTGCGCATCGCACAATGACGGTGTGTAGCTGTTCGTCGTGGCCTCAGTAATCGGATTATGGTGTTTCATCGAGGCCTCCCTTGGAGTATCGCTGTAAATCAGCCCCTTGGACGTAGTAGAGCTGTACATTGGCCTCTCAGACGGAGTATAGACAGAGACTGAAACAGGATCGAGGATTCCCGACGACTTTAAATCTGGGGTTGTCAAACTGCCAGCTTGTGGTCTACAGAGGTGTAACACCACCCCTCCTAAGACCGCACCACTCACACCCGCAGCGCAGGCAATACCAAGACCTTTGAGAAACTTCGGCCGTCGCCAGAAGCTTCCAGTTTCTTCGCGAATGGCCTGACCCTCGACCTCAATACAATACGCGGGGGGGCGGAATCCTGAATTGCAGCGCTCCACTTCGGATATTGCTCCGAGAGCCGTTTTTGTTCGTCGTCATCTAGCGGCCTCATATCTATGATCTCCAATTTTGATCTTCCATCGACAAACTTCTTCGTGTCTTCGGTACTGCTTGTGTCAAGCCACTTGATAAGCTCTCTGCCAAATGCTTTCTTCAGGGCCGCACTTGCAGCGGACGGATCCGCGTCCTTGAGATACTCCTTCAGGGTCCGAGCAAGCAAGCGCTCGATGCGTGCGGAAGCCTTCACTTGCCTCTTGGACCCTTCCGGGTGGCAGACTCGAAGGCGATTCCAACGACGGAGTCAGTCATAGTCCGAAAGGCAGGATCCCAGAAACTCCGAGGGAGGCGCCAAGGCCAGAACTTCGGCGACACCCTTACCGTCTGATACCACCGCTATCCTCGCGATGCAATCGGTGACGGGCGACAACTTCCCATCCGGACCGATGAACGCTGCCAGCGCCTCCCAACCCCCAACGTCAATCAAGCGTAGACCTGTAATTGCCTTCATTGAAAAACCACAGTATGAAAAATATAAGCGGGATTGGCCCTCCACGTTATGTCTCCCGTGATGAGTTGAATTCGGGTTTGCGGACCGGGCATGCCTGCGCAGACTCAACCTCGTCAACCCGCTTTTTTCAATCCGGGTTGGCGGGCTGAATAGATTACGAGTTCGCTTCCCGCTCTGGTACGACTCCATGTCCGCCCACCGCGAGCTTTCACGTCCACTAGTGCGCCGTGCGACTCATGTTAGTCCACGCGCGTTCCCGGGCGGTTCCTCCTGACTTTTGGTCCACTCCGCGTTCGTCGTGAGCGCGAGTGCCGGGGGTGTTTCTACTGCACAGCTGGGGCTGGGGCTTACTTCCTTCACGTATTCAAAGCTCGCATGGCATCCCGCCAACGACAACGGCCTTGTCTCTTCCGCTTCTATGCCCAGTCATTACGACCCTTACAACCAGCTACCGACTTATTCCGCCGTACCGTCTCTTGGCCCACTCTCTCCGTGGCTACCTCAGCGGCAGACATTGCGGTCCGACAGCCTCGACAGCCACTCCCCGCGTACTCCGCATTTGACGTCGTCGTCAACTGCGCCTCCGAGAGTCTTGGGCACTCTCTTCGTCATCAGTGGGGCTCCCCCCTGGCCTGCGACCGGCTGCACAAGTTCACGCCGGATTCTCTGACACTCGCAATATTCTTGGGGCCGGTCAGTCCCTCAGGAACTCGCTGCGCGGCAGCAAGCAGTAAACTTGACCCCACTCACTCCGTCGCAGCCTGGCATAACACCGGCTCATCTCCCAGGGAAGCATTCAGCATCCCTCCCCGGGGAGGGCTTTCACGCCACCTCGCTTGCCTGGGCGGACTTCAACCACTATCCTCTCACCGGTGGGTGTGGGCTCCTCGCCGTCCCAACGTCCGCCGACTCGCATGGGCCTCTCTTCGGCCCGACTCGCTTCGTTGCCTCCCACGGCGTACCGCTGCCCGCGGCCCTCCTCCGTGAGGCCAGCTTCGGGTAACACTGCTCTGTAACTTCAGACAACCCGACAAATCCCTGCCGATACCGCCAGCTGAGTTGAATTCGGGTTTGCGGGCTGAATAGATTACGAGTTCGTAAAAAGTCCCTCAACCCATAAAAAGCTAACGGCAGGACCGGTCGGACCTCTCACGTGATGAGCTTGGCAGGGACGTTAAGTTTAGCGGTTCGGATTTAATTGGCGTGGAGCGGGCTCCGTATCGGGGTTTTGGTCTGTCAGAATACGGGTTGAGCTATTGGAGTGCTGCAATGCAGGATTCCGGCTCCGCCGCGTGTTGTGTTGAAGTGGAGGGCCAGGCCGTTCGCGAAGAAGCTTCTGGCGACGGCCTAGGTTTCTCAAATGTCTTGGTACTGCCTGTGCTGTGGGTGTGAGTGGTGTGACGATAGCAGGCGGCGTTGCACTTCTATAGACTACGAGCCGGCAGTCTGACAACCCCAGCTCTACGGCACGACAGACTAAGTCGGTAGCTGGTTGTACGCGTCGTAATGACTGGGCGTAGAAGCGGAAGAGACAGGGCCCTAGTCGTTGGCGGGATGCCATGCGAGCTTTGAGTACGTGAAGGAAGTAAGCCCCAGCCCCAGCTGTGCAGTAGAAACACCCCCGGCACTCGCGCTCACGACGAGCGCGGAGTGGACCAAGAGTCAAGAGGAACCGCCCGGGAACGCGCGTGGACTAACAAGAGTCGCACGGCGCATTAGTGGACGTGAAAGTTCGCGATAAGCGGACATGGAGTCGTACCAGAGCGGGAAGTGAGATCGGCAGGTCGTGCGTCAAGTCTGCTGTTGGTGATGTTTGGCAGTGGCCGTCAGGACCGGCCGAGGGTGTTTGAGACGAAATTGGGGTCCGACTGATCCTGCCGTTAGCTTTTTGTGGGTGAGGGACTTTTCACGAACGCGTACCCCAAACCCGAATGCAACTCACTGCCCGTTTTCGTCTCACCTGCCGTTTTCACCTCACGCGATCAGTTGAATTTGGGTTGGGGGTTCGGTTCCAATGGTAACGACCACCCCGTCCTTGATGGTGGCGACAACCTCGTCCCCGATGGTAACGACCACCTCGGCTCCGATGGTCACGACTCCGGACCCGGTGCTTACGACCACTCCGGCCCCGATGTCACGACCACCCCGGACCCCACGGTTACGATCATCCCGGCCCCGATGTCATGACCCCGGCCGAAGAGCTTAACGGCACCTTCAATTCCCATCCCAAAAATGTGAACCCAGTCTCGCTGACAAGTCCGCACTTTCACGCCACACTCTAATTATCAATACTCGGTTCCATACTAAAAATTCAATGTGTTATCGCACCACAGCTCCGCTTGCTCCGAGTCAGTTTACTCACACTTCACAGTC